CATTCCAGTTTCATGCTGTCTGGAAACCTCATGAATTTTTCTGTCTCTTCCAGTTCTCTGAATTTCGCAAATCTTGAGAAGAACTGCTCAGTAGTTGACTCAATAATGTTTAAAAACAGCTTTTGAAGGCCTTGACAGTCTGTTCTGATATCTTTTGGAAGGTCTTTGATGTGCCTCTTGAGGTTTGGGAAATATCTAAATTTCTCACCATCCACATCCCTCTTAAAGACTTCCAGTTTCTTTTCAAAAGCCTTTATGTAACCGAACATAACATCAAGTGGCTTGCCAGTTCCTTGTAATTTAACATTTAAGTCATTCAGATGTTCACAAAAATCTGCAAAGAACATCAGTTTAGAAACCCACGTGGCATCAGACAATTCTTGGTAAGAAACATGTTGGTTATTTAAGAAGAGCGTTATCTCGTTTAAGCATTCAACGAATCGTTTCAGAACCAAACCTCGGCTAAGCTATCGAACATTGTACATTTTCAGTCCTTTATACACAGATTCTGCCTCATTCAGTAAAACTTGAAATTGTCTTTTATTTAAAGCAGAGCAGAAATGTAATTAACAACTTGGTAACTGTTTGCATCACTTCCCACAGTTCCTTCAGGCCAGCTTTTGCACTAAAGCATCCTCATTATGATGCAATGGAAACCTATCAGTGTATGACCAACTTCTTTCGCAAACAGATTTACAAAACCGTGCTTCTCACCAGTCATGCAAGGAGCACCATCAGTGGTGACAGACACTACTTTTGAAATGTCAATTTGTCGAGAAGAGAATTCGTTCATAACTGCTTTACATATTTCAGCCCCAGTAGTATGCTCAGGTAGAGTTAGAAGGGCAACCATCGCTTCACATATTTCATCACCTTTACAAAGTCGAGAAAAAATGGCCAGCCTAGATGACAATGTAATGTCCGTACTTTCATCAATACAAATAGAAAAAAATTGACATGAAGACAAATCTTTTGTTAATTGTTCAGCAGTATTACTCGCCAACTTAAGTATCCTATCTTTAACTGTTTTCCTGCTCACGGACAAATCTTTAATGCGCTGAATAATCTTCTCTTTTTCTGAGAGGGTTTCGCGTGCCAGCAAAAGTTACTGGCATGCCATGTTTGGCACACATGCCAGGGGTTGCCCACCCCTGCTCTAGGATCTCAGCTGAAACTTCTACTTTAACATTTCATTCCACCTGAATAAGGAGGTTTAAACAGCAGAGTACACCAGGGATTGGCTCTAACACATTCTTATGAAATAGTTTGGTAAATGATTCAGAGGTGAGCATGTGTGTGAAATATCCCAAGTGACATATGACATGAAACTTTCAGTTAGTAAAATGCCAAGTGCAGAATAAACTGCAGGAAGATGGCACCAGGCTGGATGAGTGGGCAGAGACATGACAGTTGAGTGTTCAAAAATACACTAGAAGATGCTTTCCAGACAAATAATCCAAACACCATTTTCAGGGCAATGGTCTCTAGGGCATTAGTCATGACCCCCTGAAAGGATGGGCTTCAGAGAGGTACAAAGTTGTTCACAAAATAAGGATCACTTGAGATACAATTAAAAGTCTTCAGGAGCCCAGCCGGCGTGGCTCAGTGGTTGAGCACCGACCTATGAACTAGGAGGTCATGGTTTGATTCCTGGTCAGGGCACATGCCCGGGTTGGGGGCTCAATCCCCAGTGTTCCTCTCTGAAATCAATAAAAATATATTAAAAAGAAAAGTCTTCAGGAGACTGTCAAGATTTTTTCCCCCATTGAAAAGATGAGGCATTGGATAGCTGGTACAATTCCCACTAAAAAAATAAATGCCCTTCAGACAGGAATCAGATAAGCAGCTTGTTTCTGCAAAAGCTGAACTGTAGCCAGTTCTCATAGAAACTCATTTCATAAATACTTCCCTCTTCCAGAGAGAGAGAGAGAGAGAGAGAGAGAGAGAGAGAGAGGATAAATGGATTAAAAATGTCCAGGAAGGTGCTGAGGATTCTGCTCCGGATTACCCCAGGGGGAAGGTCCATCTGTTCCCTCTAATAGGTTAACTTGCTCTACTCTCTCTGTATTTCTTCATCAGGACTTTGCAGTTTCTGCGTAAGATCAAATATTTTCCTCACTTCCCCTTTTATATTATTAAAATACCACAATTATTTGAAAAATCATTACCCTGCTCTATTGCTTATAGTATTTATCTTAGGAGAGAGGAAATATTTTATCATAAAAGATTTCATGACATCTCTATGGCTATACAAATATTTATGTATCTTTTTAAGTGCCTTGATTGATTAGTCTCAGATCCTCTCAGATTTTATCTGATTTCAATCCCTGCTTTATTTCCTATTTCATCCTGCTTCCTAGGCCACAAAGGTCACCTTCAAAATAACTATGACTTTTGCTCAACTGGTGTGGCTCAGTGGTTGAGCATCAACCTCTGAACCAGGAGGTCACGGTTTGATTCCTGGTCAGGGCACATGCCCGGAATGTGGGCTTGATCCCCAGTGTTGGGCGTGTAGGAGGCAGCCCATCAATGATTCTCCCTCATCATTGATGTTTCTCTCTTTCTTTCTCTTTCTCTCTCCCTTCCTCTCTGAAATCAATAAAAATATATTTTTAAGTGTTACGACTTTTATGTGATGAAAACACCAAACATAACCATCACTTAAATGACTTCAATATGAAGCATGATTAAAATACAATGTGAGTAATTTTCAAGTAAACAGGATGTAAAGGTAATTCAAGAAGAGGAACTCAAAAATGTTAGCATTGGAACAAGCACATAACTTTCATCTGCTGAATTCTTTGAATATATGTGCTGTAATATTTATTTACAAAATCATTAACACTTTTTTAAAAAATATATTTTATTGATTTTTTACAGAGAGGAAGGGAGGGAGGGGGGGAGGGAGGGAGAGAGGGAGAGAGAGAGAGAGAGAGAGAGACAGAAACATCGATGAGAGAGAAACATCGATTAGCTGCCTCCTGCACATCTCCTACTGGGGATGTGCCCGCAACCCAGTTACATGCCCTTGACCGGAATCGAACCTGGGACCTTTCAGTCCGCAGGCCGACGCTCTGTCCACTGAGCCAAACCGGTTTTGGCAATCGTTAACACTTTTATACTCTCGCCTCATACTTGGTATTAATATGCTATACAGTATCTCGTATTTGGAGTAAGACACTTTCTTGTTTTAATGTATTCATGTAAATAATAGCACTCAGAAGTGGGTAGATTTTAATTTTTAGTAGTGTCTTGTTTTTATTCCATACATTCTCACATCTATAATAATAAAAGCATAATATGCTAATTAGACCTGATGTCCTTCTGGACGTCCTTCCGGGACGAAGCAAAGTCTACAGCCGGTACTTTCAGCTCCCCTGTGAAGGGCAATACTCTGCAGTAATTCTTTTCTGGCAGGCTCCTGTAATTTTCCATCACAAATGAGTACTCGAGCTCCTTCCAAGCAGACACACCTTCCATGTGCTCTAAATACGTGGCTGACCTTGAAATGGAAGTGGAAACCAGCCCAAGTCACGTTCTACTTTCCCCTCTCCTGCTCCGAACATTTTTATATGGGAACGTCAGCTGAAAAGAAATCAACTTTAAACCAAAGAATGAGGAAGAGCCACACCCAGTCTGGGCAGAGGGTGTGCAGAGAAGATAAGCCAGTCTGACCTGCTTGCCTCGCTGACCCCGGGGATGGCAGGAGGTTGGGCACTCATCAGGAAGAACTTTTCCCCTAAAGGATGTTGAGGACACTGAGTTTTATACCCTTAGGAGACAGGGAGTGTTCTTATCCCCATATTTACAGATGGGAAAACTGTACTTCAGTTGTTTTTAGTACCAGTTGGGGAATTGGCCAACTGCCTGAGTGAGTCATGGTCCAGATGCTCAATCCTACAGCCATGAGGGCCTAATGTTCTTATCACTACTTGCATTAGCTGTGCCCAGCACACACCCTGAATATTTGATAATATATGCTTAAAAAGTAACTCGATATTGTACTGATTATCACACAAATATCAGTGTTTATGAATATTTATTTTCAGTATTTGCATCGCTAACCCTCACTGCAGTACTGATTTTCACCTTGGCCGTTTGTGCCAATATAAGGAAGCATTGGCACGGACATTGGAAGTGGGCAATTCGCCCACCCAGCAGGACCATGCTCCTCACACAAATGTGCCAAACACTGAAATTTGCTCTCACCTCATTCCTCTACAAGTAAAGCTAAAATTGAAGAAAACTACCACTAGGGGGCAATAAATATCTTATCATCTGGTCTGAACCAGAGATAAATTGGTGGCCAGCAGCCATATTTCGCTTGATTCAAATGGTTTGTTGGCTTGTTCATTTTAAATTTAAGTCCACATTTAATAATAAGGAGTGTTCACATAACAATAAATATTTTTCAGTTTTTCTTGGAAAAAGAATGAGAAGATCTAGCAATTATTGGCTCTGCATTTCCTCACAATAATGACTGGCTGTCGCTGAGTCCAACCGCTCCGTTGAGGCAGCGAGGCTATCTCCAGCATTCGTCATTCATATAATCCACGCACACGTGCTCCCCCAGCCTGCTACAGGTTACCCACCTGGCCTCTGTGGCATTTACGTTTGTGAACTCCTCATTCAAATAATTAGGCTAAGGCAGGAAGTGTGGTTTTAAGAAAGATTGTATTCACTAAATTTTAGGCTTCCTTAAGTAAAATTTTAACTTTGTTTTAAAAAAAGAACAACACTGTATTATCAGGGATACAATAATTAAACATTACATGTTTGAAAGTGACCAAATTTTAGGTATGATTGGATGTATTTATCACTAATGTTTAACTAACTTATTCTAATTCTGTTCTTAATCTCTGATGAAAACAGAAATTTGGATAGTCAGTCTAAATCAGCTGTGGGCAAACTACGGCCGTGGGCCGGATCCGGCCAGTTTGAAATGAATAAAACTATTGAAAAAAAAGACCGTACCCTTTTGTGTAATGATGTTTACTTTGAATTTACATTAGTTCACACAAACACTCCATACATGCTTTTGTTCCGGCCCTCCGGTCCAGTTTAAGAACCCATTGTGGCCCTCAGTTTGCCCACCACTGATCCACACCCTGAAGGAATCAGGACCCTCCTAGAGAAGCTATACATTGTGTCACTTCCAACCCCTCTGGCATCTGGCCATCCTCTTAGCTGCAGGGGAAGCAAGAATTGTACAGCTGCCAGCAGGGTCTTGCTATTTCCTTCTCTCCAACAGGTAAGCTTACTCACACTCAACGGGCAGAGAGAACAAGTGATGGTCAAGAAGGGCTTTGGCAGGGATACAGTATTTCTATTTCCAGACTCCTAGACTGTCCTCACTGCTTAGGGTCAAACTTTCTGGTTTCCTAGAGAAATTTACTGTTGCTCTACAGGGGTAGTTTGGAGTGGCAGACAGAGATCTAGGTCTGAGAAAGGTGTGGTTTGAGTTCTGACTCTTATCACTCACTGATTAGCCATTTCTATTGTGCCCTGAGGCTCAATTTTCCTGACTATAAGGTGGAGATGATACTATTTGCCCTTACTATTTCCCCATGTTATTGTTAAAAATAAAATAAAATAAAATAATACAGTGAAAACAAAGTGTAGAACACTGTATAATACAATGTATTAGAATTTGAAAAATGCTTAGGAGGCAAACTGACCTAAGATGCCTATTTTTCTTATCTAAAAGGTTTAGTAATTAAGATGCAGGTGAGCAAGATCCTCACAGTGAAAGAGACTTTTGGTAAGAGTTAGTGAGTCTTTGGGAAAGGAGCAGAGTAGTCAGCACCAGGAATCTGATTCCCCACTTGCCGGAGTCCATTCATTGTCTTCACTAGCTGAGTTTAGACAGAGACCCTCCAAAAGCTAGTAACCTTTGAAGTTCTAGCAAAGGTCAGAACTGTGCACCACCCAGCTAATTTAGGTAATAATAGTTGAAGCATCATCCCCACCTTAGTTCCCTTAATTCCTTAGATACTTATGTAGATCCTTGTTGATTATTGTTAATCAGATACTCCCGGAAATCTATTGATGAGCTAATCAGATACTTTGTCTATTCCTGGAAATTGTCTGCTGATCTGTGTGTCATGAAAACATCCTTACCCTAAGGGCTACTCCAGATCAATAAAAGATTGGAGCAGCCTGAGCAGTGGGGGAGGTCCTTTAGGACTTGCCTTCCTGGTCCCCCAGTATTGCAAAATTATCTCATGTCTTTTTCTCTCATTTGTTGTGCGGCTCTTCCTTCAGATACCGAACCCTACTCCACGCAGAACGCAGAACGTGGAGGGAGTTTTACTCGTGGAACAGTTAGGTAACAACTGTACTCAAATCTGCCTGATATAACTATTTGGAGTCTATTAAAGGCTCCAAACTTCCAGGAGAAGGCTTGAAGGGTAAATTGTGGTTATTTTTTACAATGTCAGCTCTGAGCATAGTAGCCACTACCCAGGCCCCACCCGTGGCAGGCAGCTGCGCACTTGTTCCTGGGCAGCTTGCATGCAGCGTGCCAGAGCCAGCATGGGGTTGGGGGAGTCGGGGGAAGAACACTGTCCTCCAAATATCCGGATCTGCTCTCTGATTGCTGACTGCTGTTTATGACCCCAGAGGAGCAGACAAAGAGGCAGCTGCCATGTGGTACACCTACCCTCCTGCTGCAAGCCCCTCCGCCTCTGGCTGAAGTTAACTTCAATGGGTTCAAAGGGCTTACCCTTAACTTTTCTCTCTCTTTTTTTTTTGGAAGGCATACATTAAGAACTAGGACATCAAAAGCTACCACATATACAGGGGAAATTAATTAGAAAGTCACTGCACATATCCAGGCAAATGCACAGGCTCAGAAAAGACCTGAGAAGACCTTAAGGTGACACCTCAGTCTGATTCTCAGTACAGAGACAGCCTACAACAATAAAAAAACCAAACTCCAAAATAAAAACAGAAAACCCTAGGGAAGGAGGAGTCTTATTTCCAGAGTTACCAAATTATTGAATTTAAATGTCCAATTTTTTCAACAACCAAAAAATTACCAGGCATACAAAGAAACAGGAAAATATGGCCCATTCAAAGGAAAAACTAAACCAACAGAAACTGTCTAGATGGTGAATCTACTTGACAAAGACATTGAAACAGCTCAGAGAACTGAAGGAAGACATGGAAAAAAATCAAGAAAATGATGTATGAATGAAGAGTGTAGGCAAATATAAAGACTAACAGATAATGCAGGTGGACCTTAGAGGTGAAAAGTCTTAGACAATGAAATGTGAGTAGGGGTGCCACAGTCAGACTTTTAGTCTGAGTGTTATGCAAATACTTGATAGAGCAGTCAGGGAAACTGAAATTCAGACCCAATTTCACTTGCCAAACTTCATGTCCTGGGGAAGGGGGGAGAATGGATTTTACCCCTAAAAACAGGTACCTTTTTCTAATTCACAGAAAGGCACTACACAGGCTGTCTGTGCCCCTAACTCCAAAGGTGTGCCTTTAGAACTGAAAATATTAAGGAGAGAGACAGTCGGTGGTGCTGCACTCAATAATGGGTCTTCTTTACAATTTTCTCACATGTTTGGAATTCAAGAGTATAATTTCAAGGCTTTCAGGCATATATATCCTGGGCTTATAATAACATGTAACAATAGATTTTTAAACGTGGTGCTTAAGTTCTTCATCTATTTTAAGAGAATACTTTAATACTATATGAGATAATCTATAATAATAAAAGCATAATATGCTAATTAGACCAGACGGCCGAACGACCTTCTGGACGGAGCCAGGGCTGTGAGGGCCAAGCCCCTTGCATGAATTATGCGCATCAGGCCTCTAGTGTATTAAATAAAACAAAATACCAATGTCTTGCTTACCTTTATATTATGCTATAATGTTTTAAGATTATTATTATCATAATACTTGAGAAAATCACCAGGCTCCAATGTAAAACATGGTCATTTATTATTTGAATAATAAATTCCTCATGGTAAAAGAAAGCAGCTGTGCACTCATGTTCATACAAATCGTAGTGTGAACCTAAAACACAAAACCTTGTGTACATATATATTTTATGAAACCTAAAGTTTTATAGCTTTTTCATGTGCCTATCTAAGACATGGTGTTTTTGGTTCCATAAGTGTCAAAATTCATTAAGTGTGCATTGTGCAAAGCATTGTGGAATTAAGCAGAGAAATATACGATTTCTGCCTTAAAAGGGATAGGTAATTTTGGCATTAAAATATCACTTTTAATGAAGATTATAACAGTAGGAAGATGGGTCGAATATGAGCAAAACTGTACAGCTGTCTTCTACTTTTTTGATTTGTCTTTGAGGAGAGGGAGGGGGAGAGGGGGATGGAGGAAGAGGCGTGTGGAGATATTGCTAATCCTCCCATGACAGGATGACAGGATGACAGGAGAATGCCGGGAGTGATATGCTGGCTCTCCAGATTCCCAGAGACAAGCACGGTATGAAAGCTGAGCACACCATTGCCTCCAGGGTCC